TCCTTTGAGTATGGAGTATGAGTAGTGGGCTTTTGTCCGATCTCTTCTCCATGTCCTACATTGTGGAACCTGGTGTGTTGGGCGTGGAGATTTCGCCCAACCGGACGTTTATTGATGGTTCACCCTCTTGTTCATACTTTCCTGTCAGTAACCATTTTGGAGTGTATTCGTGCACGCTTGTATTTAGCCGATCAGGTTGGCGGTGACCGGAGAGGGACGGGAGATAAGGACCGATTCTTGACTGGGCAGAAGTAGGCAGGAAATTTAGGCTGTTTATGGGGGGTAAACTTGATTTTAGAGTGCAATTTTTACTCTCCTCACTTTAGCTAACGTCTTACCTTCTTACTAATCTAGTTTGAGAAAGAGCGATTTTTTCTCAATCCCTACTCGCCCAGCCATACCGACCTCAGGTTGGCTAGACCTGGGCGGGGGGGAGTTCTGCAAGTAGCTGTTGGACGGCGAGATGAGTTTCAAGATAATGAGTTCACAAGCGTGTCTTCCGTGCTATCAAAAAGTCTCGACAATACAAATCATCTTAAGCCTGGACGCGTCCTCATCCTAGCTGTAGTGGAGATCATGGCAAAAGGATAGTAAAAGCCGCAAATTCGTACTCAAGAATTACATGCATCCGGTCTGTGTCAACATCGAGAATAATGTTACGTGACTGCCTCATTTACTACCTCCTCCTACCACACACACACATATATATATATAGGTTGTATGTGTGTGTGAGTATTTATGTATGTATTATGACTGAAAGTATGGCAAGGAATGAGCTATGACGGAAGCGACGAAACGACTAGAACTGTATACATGCTCTATGCAGGCTTTGTGGGCGGAAGAAATTCACATCGTGCCTGAGATAAGATTGTCACAGAGTTGTCGTGATGGTCTGTTTGGATGTATTGTTGAGCTTGCTTCCATTTAGAGTGAAAGTGTTTGGTGAAAAGATTCGGAGCTCGATCCCACCAGAAGTTGACTACTGTCGAGTGACTTTACTGGAACATTCTTGTTGACCTTTTTTCTCAAGTGATCTCCTTCGATTCCGATGATAACGCGTTAAGCTTTAGTCCGTCGTATGCCGAGCATAATCAGAACTAGGTATCATCCTTGCAGCCAAATTCAAGCTGACGAGTCCAGAAGACTCATCGGCTCATCCCTAAAATGCTGTATATGTACTCTTTATCTGATCTCTGTGATGAGGTATAAAGCGATTTGGTTAGTTCCAGTCATATGTCAACCTCGGAACACGTGAGTGTGTCTGTCTTTGTATGTGTTTGCATATGCAATTAAGACAGCAAAAGTAACCTCTGTTCTTGGCCATCAAGGTTCGATGACTACCATCACCCTTTCTATATGTATATATGCTTTAACCATTACTCCGATTGCGTAAGGTCAGACACATGTCTGATAATGATGACTAGCTTTTTTGCTCTTCATGTGACAGAGAAAGAGTGAGCTAAAAGTACAGAGAAGTGACTATGATTAGAAGCAGGACAGGAAGCGACTAGTTGAGTCGACTCCTTTTTCCAGGCGGCTCAACAACCTCTCTATTCTCGAGTCTATTAAGTAGGCACAAGTAGTTTTCAACTTCTTGCTGATATTCCTCACATTCAATGCATTGCCTATTCGGTTAATTTCATTTAGCCGCAGACATGCCATAGTCAGCAAAACGGCGTGTTTGACACAATTCAATCCCGTGTCCCGTTTCTGCCTTGTGCTCAGCCAGCAACCTGTTCTGGATAAGGGGTCAACTTTCTCTCTAAAAGTGGGCATGGCTGAAGAAAGTGTCGAAGTTTCCCTCTCCTTTTAGAGAGAACTTACGAAGGTAAAGACAAAACATGAGAAAAGGTCTCCTTATCTCTCCTTATTCTTTATTAATCCAATGTTATTTTCAATCAAGCCTAGGGGATAGTTATTTTCAAGAAATCTCATTTTAAGCCGATTTATTTCATTGTCACAATAGTCTTATGCTTCGAATAATCATACATTCTAAAACTCCAACCTTTGTTTTATAACAATGATTCGAGAAGAAGTTAAATAAAAACCAGCATGTGTTGGCTTTCTATAGACATCCCTGCTTAAATTCTCACCTGCTCTGATCACTAAGACATCTAAAAAAGGTAAATTATTGTCTTTCTCTATCTACATTCGTTAATTAAGAGCAAGAAATCCTCTAAACTATCCTTGCCATGCTGCCATATGACAAAGTAGTCATCCATGTATCTAACGGACAGTTTGGGTGTCAATCTTATCTCTTCTCTGAAGTGTTCCTCCATTCTTGACATGTAACAATTAGCTAAAATGGGAGCCAAGCACGGTTCCATTGCTAGGCCTTGCACCTGTTCATAAACTGTATCATTAAAGGTGAAGTAAGTGCTGCTCATTGATATATCAACAAGCCCTAAGATTGAGCTTTTGCTCAGATTTGCCCATCCCCCCCAATAATTTCTGGGTGTTCATCTAGGCTGAGTGTAAGTGCTTCCATAGCTTTATGAACTGGGATGTTAGTATGCATTGATACCACATCAAGGCTAACCAAAAGATCCTACTCTTTAATACTCTGTTGCTCTATCAGTCTAACAAATTCATATGAATTCTTCACTGAATATTTCCAATAATCAGCTCTTGCCTTAATAGCCTGCATAATAAACTCCCTACTTGTGTGTTTTTGGAAGGCCGTTTGAAACTAATCAAATCTCCCTATACCTCTTCAAAGAGGTCAAGTATCGAGTATATGCACAACCTTTTAGGGATGAGCCGGTGAATATTCTTGACTCGTTAGCTTCAATTTGGACGTTTTCACCGGAATCGAAGAAGATTACTTCGGAAACAACGTCAACAAGGCGACTGCGACCATACCAGAGGCCACAACATTTTGGTATTCATATCTTCAGTCAACAAGAATGTTCCAATAAATCCAATCTACAGCTGGTCATAAGGAATCCACCGTCGTCTTCTGGTGGTATTGACCTTTTAATCTCTTCACCTCACATTTTCACTCGAAATTTAACTAAGCTCAACTATTATGAAACAAGAGATTCCCCGAAATCCAATTTTTCTTCGCATGTGTTTGGATTTAGCTGCCCTTGGCGAAGCGAAGATGACCATCATTACGGCAGTACATCGACGTTGGCAAAATGCAGATGAGTCTTTCATTTTTGTCTTAGAGAGGCCACTGATGCCATACACTCTGAAACCCTAGAGCTGTAGAGGTGTACCATACTTTGCTGGTATTTGCGTTCGATTGACAGCGAGATTATTCGATTGGTGAGTCGCGGAAGACTGTTTCTAACTCAGGTTGAACGATGGTATTCGAGCTCGCCTCATCGACTCACCATCCCTTTCAAGCGGAACTCGAACCCGCCATCCAACCTGGGAATGTGCACGGCGTTTTGGCATGCAAGCATAAATGTAAAGTCAATAGAAAGATTCGCAAGCACTGGTGCACTTGTACAGAAGATGAAGTTCTTGTACTACGGATGATGTTCCTGTTGTGCACCGCATGAATATCTTCCTCTCGAGGAGACGGTAGTTTCTGCTTGGTCAAAGCCGGATCAACCCCCTTCTGATGTGTAAGCGAATTTCGCCTGAAGTTGCCATCAGAAACGGTACATCTTGATATGTTCGTCCAAGCATCACCTGAAAATCTCGTTCTCTGCTGAAAGGTCGTCCTCATTCGCCTGGTCTATGAGTGCAGATTGGAGGGCATTTTTCACGATTACGGCTGGAAATTGGGAGTAAAGCATGCATTTTGCCCACTACTTACTTCTGCTGGTAATTCGAGCGATCACAATGAGCCTTCAAGGAAGTGGTCTGAACGGCATCAGTCGCAAGGAGGCCAAGAAGAGGAGCTTGCTTAACCATTGAGCTGACTATCCTTCGAAGCAATTGATGAGCATAGATGAAGCCGATTAACTCCACGCTTCCATTCACTACCACTTCGAGAGTCTAACTTTTCAACTCTGCTGTGTAGTTGAAACTATCATGTCCCCATGGCGGTTGGATTATTGTCTTGGTTACTTCATGAACAGGGCTATGTATTATCTGTTTTGCTATGTTTGAGGTGTCAGTTGAAATCAGGACGGCCAGGGCTAGAAACAGGGGCGTCTGCAATTGCAAAAAAGTCGAAATTCTGCCAACTTATATAACTTGCTTGGGCATTGGTTCGGCTAACTTGTAAATAGCTCATTTAAAGACTCTGATCTAAAAGCAGTTCAGCATACGCGTATGTGCGGAAAAACAGCTATAGAGACAGATAGTTAAATATCAAAAAGATGGATAGATTGAC